CCCCAAATTATCACTGTAAAAAAGAAAAAAAATGCTGTGGGGAAGCCACTGACGCAGGACTCCACAGCACTTAAATACAGCCTGGCTGGCCCCATCCACAGCACTCCAGGCAGGCAGAAGCTCCAGAACCAGCTCCAACGCCAGCTACCAGCAAAGCCACTGCTGTCCCATCCCGCCATGGAATGCAGAACAGGTGGGTGTCACTTACCTTGCTACAGGCTGTAAGGTTGCTCTGGTTGGTGTTCTTCTCTACCTCAGCCACTTCATGCCCATATGCTTTAAAAATGTATCACACTGCATGAAACTATTAAGATTTGCAAAAAACTATGCAGAAGATTGAGACTAATCACTGTATTCTTTCCTTTTGGTTTCCTCTTTTCATCTGAATGCAGATATCAACAGGTTTGCAATCTTCCTCTTCTGTTTACTGGTTCCTTTGGGCTCCATGGCACCGACAGAGACATCAAAAAGCAAAGTGACTACAGGACAGAGGCAGAATCATTTCACTACGGAGATACCGACCTTGGCCATAGTAATACAACAGAAAGCTCACGAGCTGTTTGAATTCTATGTAAGTGCACCATTTTCCATGTGCTGTGCCTATGTCTGTGGAGAAACCTCTTGAATTATTATAAAACACTAGAAAGACCACCAGAAAATAAGTGTTTGGGTTAAAACTTACAGTAGGCTCTTCTCTGTATTTCATGCAAGAAGGAAAGCGTTCATTGCGTTATGCAAGGGCAGCTGGAGCAAGGGCAGCTGCGAAGAGCTTGGGTGACTGCCTCAGCTCATTGCCAGCTGGGATCTTCCTGATTCCCAGTGTTCCTTCCCAGTCTCCTGAGTCCCATTGGGCATCTTCCTGCAGGAATTCAGTCAGAGCACTGGAAACGTGGTGAGAATTGCTCTGCCCTTCAGTCTGACCCTAATGCTTGAGCACTTTTGCCAAATACTCTGCTCACCCAACCTTTCCTTAGACAGGCAAAACGATCACTGAACCCAGGTGTAAATGCCTCAGACAAATTTCAGTCCTTGGGACTGTGTTTCCAAGAGTATTTTGATAAAAATCAACATTGGCGTTTCCTATTAATTCATTCTTGAAATCAAAACCATCTCTTCCAAAACAGATGAAAACACACACAGGCCAAAACAGATCTCTGGAATAGGTACATTTTTCCCCTACAGCAAAGAATAGTACCCACGGTCTAGAAAAGCTGAGAACCAAGGCAAGCAAGGCATGGGGAGAGGAACTGCACACTCAGGGCAATGCCTGCTTGATCAAAGGGATGGAGGTGTTAATACGATTGAACCACAACCAGAAACCCCAAATGAGAAAGGGAAACCAAAGGATTAACAACTCCTCTCTCCTCTTCCTTCCCTGCAGCACAAGTGTATCTCTGCAACGTTCCACCCTGAGCCCTGGAGGGTTACGTCCAAAGCCAGAGACGTGGCAGACAGAATACCCAAATGTGCAGCTTTCCAGGCAAGCTGCTGTGCTTTGCACCACATCCACAACACTCTGCAAACCCTGCGAGGGGACATAGAAACCATCTGCACCGAGAGCTCCAAAGACGTGGTCAAGGCCAACCTCAACCAGCTGAACACCACGCTGAGCCAAGGCACTGCCTTCTACACCTGCAGCAGCCAGGACCTGCCCCAGGTGTATCCCCAGGGCCAGACCATGAGTCTGGCAGACAAAAAAACCTACATCTGGTGGGTTTTAAAGAAATATGAGGACATCATGCAGCTTACGGGAAACCTGTATTCTGAAGCAGCAGTTTGATACGCCATGATGAAAAAATAATGGAAGATGCTGGAGAAGTGGTTAAATGAGATTTGTCAGGGGTTATGGGATCAGTTTGATGCCAGGATAAACATTGATAATGTATTGCCAGTCTCTATAACTATATAATCTAGTTTAATTTAATATTTAAAGGATTAACGTGGTAAATTATTGATTGTATTTATTATAAAACTATTTATGCTGTCTTATTTGCAAGAGCACATAACAAGGAAGGACTAACATGAATCAAGGTAATTTAATTAACCAACCCTGACATATATAAGCAATCAGGAAAGTGTAATTTCAGTAATTTTATTTATATTTTTATCTTGCAGTTATTTTTCAAAAGAAAAGTTGATTGTCAGCAGGCTGATTTTGTACTTCCCTACTAGTGGATTTTATTTATGAATTTATACAACACATCTATTTTTATAAATCTATTTAAGCAATTAGTTTATATATTTATTTATTCATATTTTAAACTCATATTTTAATACTGAAAGGGACCTATTTGCTACTTAGTAGATGAATGATTTTACTCATTTCCTGTTACCACCTTTGGATAGAAACTGGAACTTAATAAAATATTAAATGAAACAAATATTTCTGGATTCTCTTTTTACTAACTCTTTTTTACAGTATATTTTGCACTGGCCCTGTTCTGCTCAGACTTCTCCAGGAAAAGGGGGGTTTGATATCAACTGAGTTACATTGCCAGCTGCCCAAAAGTCCGAGGGGGGATCCTAGAAAAGCACTCAAGTTTCCCCAGAGGAACAGAGGGACCAAGCTCCTTGCTGGAGCCAGGGAAAGAATTCTTCCCAAATAGGCCCCATTTCAGCAACAACTCTGGAGATGTGACATAGTGGTGACATGAAGAAGCTAAAATTCCAACATCATATCCTTCATTTTTAATAGAAAAAGAAGAGTGGTTGGAAAAAAATCACTGCCTGGGGATGTGCTTATCCCCAAGGCTGAAGCAACACCTGCCTGAAGCAACACCAGCTCTTCAGGTGGGGTCAGCAAAGCACTCCAGGGAGGAAAAGTCACATCCCCAGGGCTTAAACATCACTGTCAATGACTGGCACAAACCACTTAAGCCTTGCTGAACCAGAGGATTATACAGGGCCGCTCCCTGTGGTTTCCTCTCCCATGCACAGCTTTTGTTTTGCCTTGTAAATGTATAAATGGCTCTACAAAAGTGTTTTCCTTAGAAAGGGAAATGCTTCCTCAGCAGCATAACAAGATGTCAAAGTGAGTCAGATGGTCTGCCCAAACTCACATCATGGGAAGGGCTACCTGAGAAAGAAGAGCTGTTCTTCCCCCGGGTGGGGGGAAACTCAGACCAGTCTCTGCCAAGAGGAAAAGGCACCAGCCCCAGGCAGAACAGTGAGAACACCTGCAGCCCTGTGGCCTTCCTGGTGGTGCAGGGTTACCAGGGCTCAGATAAATCCTCCTCAGCTCTGGAGGGCTGTGAGTTGGGGGATACACCTGTGCCACAGGGAGCATCTCTGCTGTGATTATGATTTAGTCACCAGCAAAGATCTCCTGACAAGCAGTGCCCCATTAATCCTGGTTGAAAACAAAGCTTTCGAGACCTGTGAGGAGTGAAGAGTTTGGATGGAGGAGCCACAGATGGGCTCTGTAAGCAGTGCCAGAAGAGCAGCAGCAGGACCCAGGGATGTGATGAGTCTCATCTTTCATGGGTTTGTTTCCATTTGGTGGTGGAAAGGTACTGGGGGTGTGACGCACACACCTTGTTCCGAAACAGGAACACGTTAAACATCTCTCTGGATGACAACAAGGGCTCTTCTCTGTTTGCACACAGGGAACTTCCCCAACACCCAAATAACCATTCCTTGTCTGCCCACCTCCTGGAGAAAGTGCTCAGGGGCGAGAATAGGCGGAGATGAACTCCTGAGGGCAAATATAGGTTAAAATAAATAAATAAAAATCTAGTGAGCATTCCATTCCAATGATTTAGATACAAAGAGAGCCCTGAGCTGTCTGCCCACTGATGGGCCAATTCCCTTACAGCAGTGATTTCATTTCCCCAGAGCAAGTGTAGGTCCACTTTTGGCAGAGTTCAACGATTAGCAGAGCCAGCTACAAAAAGAAACCACCTCACAAACTCTTTTGGCATCTCAGCTGAAGTTACAGCAGCCTCCCTGAAATCACCTCTAAATCAGTAGTACAGAAAGAGTGCTCTGCAGCCACAGCTTCCTCCCAGAGAGCTTTGATAGCATCCCTGCAGTAACTCTGGCATTTATAGTGCTTGGTCAAGTGAAGGCAGGCTGAAGAGTTGGTTTATCACTGTTGAAATAGCACTGCTCTTCACTCCCACCAAAATGCTTTATGTGAGATCAAGCTTCTGATTTCTGAAAAGTTAAATTCAGGGTTTTTGAACCCTGCTGTACCTCCTAGAATTGCAGGCCTGACTCATCAGAAGTTCTCATCAGAAATACCAAGTCAAAGGCACCAATCACAAGGATAACATCAACCAGCACAAACTCTTATGTGGTGATTTTAAAATAAAACCTTTCCTTTCACTCTTTTATTACCTTTCTCTTCAACTAGAGCCTCACTGCTGTTTCCACTAGGCAAAAAAATCCAAAATGTCAGGGAGGTGATAACTGAAGCACAGAAAGCTGGAGTGTCCTACCAGGGAAAAACAAAAATCAGTCAATAAAGACAGATTTATTAATTTCATTTTTTAAATGGACTTAAGTAGCTCAGTGCCTAACACCAACATCAATCCCAAAAGGTGTCCAAACTTCAGCAACTCCATAGAGGATACAGAGCAATGCTCTGGGAATGCCAAACACACAGATCCAAAGGTAACTCCAGCACTGTTCACAGGGAAACGAGCTCTTGTCACCTTTTACAGCTGCAAAAAGGATGCCAGGTGTTGACCCTGGTGTAGAAATAATTCTACTTACCATTTCCCCACCTCCAGTCAGAAAATAGAGGCATTACAACCAGTTTCTTCCAAAAAATATCCTTTATTGTTTTGGTTGTAAATATAAAAAAATGCATTGCACAATTTAACAGACCTACTGAAAGTGCTACATATCAACAGCACAACAGAAGTTGTCATGCAACAGAACAGAAAACCTAAGCAAAGCAAGAGCACAACCTGAAGTCCTCATACCTTCAAGCTTTTTTTTCCTTTTTTCTTAACAAGAATGAATTCCATTCACTTAAAACACATTTAAATACAAGGTTAGAAGAAGAAAACGATCTATTTATTCACTGTATTGTTAAAAGGATTGCTCGTAACATTGATATATTTTGATTGAAAACCCTATTCATGTTGGAAAAGTTCAGATATAAAAAGTTTGGACAATGGCTAGAAATTAATTCCGTTATATACCTAAGGTGTGTTTCATTGTAACTGAAGTTTTACAGATGAAGCTACAGTTTGGTTCTACCACTTCTGCTCTAACACAGTAAATGAGCAGAAAATCCAACCAAGAATGAAACCAAAGAAAACAAGAGCTTTAACCAATATTGCGGGAAAATACTGGGGTCCTATAAAAGAAAAAACCCAAAACAAATCATCTCCTCTGAAACTCAAGTGTATAAACTGAGGAGTAATAGAAAAACTCCCAATGTCTCACCTAATTCAAACAACTCCTAAAATTTATCAACAATTCTCCATAGTCCTCCAGACTGATGTGACTGAATCCCTAAAGAACCTGAACTTGATGTCATCAGCCTTTTGATTTCTGGTGGTTTTCCATGCAATAAAGGTGGAAAGGAACCAAAAAATAGAAAAAGGAGAAAACACACTCAACTTTCAGCAGTACCTTCTAGCTGGCAACATCAAGGCAAGAGTTACCCACTTCAGAAATTAAGAAAGTGAAACAGCCTTCAAATAAGCATTATCTTACTGAACATTTCTGCAGTGAGCTTCCCTCTCCGGTTCTCAAACTGCTTTTCTGGAGTTCTGGGCTTTAAAAGCAAACAAAACTAAATTTACCTGTCCCTGTCCCTTCTACCACATGTGAACACAAACACACACGGGAATGTAAAAAAACCTGAAGATACAAAGGGATTCAGTTTTTCAACAGATTTGACAGCCCTTTGTCTTTTCAAGCCGTTTCAGATTTAGAGGGTTAAGCCCTTGCCTGTTTCCTGGGTTTGTCAGAGCAGAGGTTACATCCATGTGTGCACACATGTTCCGGCACATGGCAGTGGAGAGGGCTGGATTCAGCAGGAAAGACACAATTTTTTCCAAACATAAGACACAGTTACTCACAACCTCAGTGTGAAAGGGTCCACACAGATGTAATGCCACACAGATAAAATCCTCTAAAAAGCCTGGGAAGCCCCACTTCCTCCATTCGTTGAATTTTCCACAGAGCATCATTTTAAGGGGAACAATGGGTGACTTATGATTTATCAAATGCATACATGACACCAAGATCTAAGGCACAGATGGAAACATTCTAGTAGCAACCCCCTTCAAGGAAGCCTTCCCCAGAGGTCTAGGAAAGCATGGAAGAACATTCCAGTCAGGTCAAATGGTATTAACCAAGAATCCTTTGGTTTTGTGCAGAGATCAGACTGTCATGGTGAAGTGTGCGCTTGTCTCTGATCCTACTCCTCAGTAATTCCTTCAATTCCAGTTTGCTCCTGGACCTTCACCCCTTGCTCCTCCTGCTAAAAGGAGGCCAGTAACTAAAATACAAACTAATAACTACACCAGAAAATGCCCAAATTCTCCAGAACTTATGTTTGGGGCCATCTACAATATACCAGCTAATACAATTTGAGGTCAGAAGGAACCAGCTGACAATCCCAGTTTGACTTTGTGCATATCACAGGCCATAAATAAGTTATTTAGCTACTCCTTTACGGAGTGAAGTATGGTGGATTTGACAGAATACGATTTGTATTCAGTTATATGGGGATTCTCCAGAAGTTTAGCACCAGGCAGATGTGCAGCACCTGCAATTCTGTGCAGACTATAGGCACTGTGTGTTTGGCTTGCTTACTTTGGTGACACTGAGGAAATCAGAGTGCTTAAATTATAGAAGAAAGTGTTACCAAACTTTGAAAAAAATAAAGTATTTAAACTCCTCCATGGGTAAGAAATACAGACTAAGGTATTTAAACATAAATTAAAGTAGAAAACTATGCAGGAACTAATACATACGTGGTCCATCTCTTTCCATACCAATCTTTAGTGGTTATACTGTTCAGATGTGAGACATAAACCAGCTTTTTTCCTCCTGTGTTTCCAAATGAAGTGAAATCACTCTCCTCACAAGGCTGACTGATAAAAGAATTCTGATCTGCAATAACAGGGTGACAAGAATATATTGAATCACTGCTTCAGAGAGCAGCCACATCATTTCTGGTAATTGCACTAGTGGAAAGTATCTTTTCACTTTTCCTTTCCTTCCTCCTACACTCTTTGCCTAAGTAAGCAATATTTATTTTTTTTCCTCTTTACGATTTGCAGTTTCTTAATAGTGCTTTGAGTTTGTTTCTGCACCACAATTTGTTAAACAAGCACATTCCCTCCAACTGTAACCAGCTCACAGTGCAACCTGATGGATGAGTTTTCCATCAAAACTGTGAATGGACAAAGTTTTTGGCAGTTCAGGTAAATTACCCCTCCCTGTTCCTTTAAGGTTGCTTTCAGTTTCCAATCCATTCAGTGAGATACGGGATGCTGGGATTTCAGTTCTCAGATCTCCCTGGGCCCTGAAGGATGACTGTACTGCACTGTGCTTGTTGAGACAAAACTCCCACATCATCGATACCAGAAATGGTAAAAATCACACACCATCACTGCTGACAAGCAGGAGACCACACTGCAGGGGAAGCATCACAGGATCTGCTCATCTGAAAAGGTCAGCAAAAACATCAGCTCTTGGACAGCATGCCTGCTGCTTTCTTGCTACAAACCCAGACATGTTTTTAACACACAAAGAGTGAGATCAGCCCACCAAGAAAAGGACATAAGGGACATCTCCAGCTCATCACAGCGTAAAGTGATTTTACTGGAGTCAAATTCACAGCTAGTGATAGAAATGGGAGGATTGAAAGCACTGATTCAAAAAAGGATTTACGTATTCAACATTTCTTATCCAGATGTATCCAAAAGATTATTGCTTAACTGATTACAACATTATAAAAGAGCTAGGAATGGATCCCTCCAGAAAATCTAATCACTATTTAATTAATAAGAAAACCTGTGCACACCATTCCTTGGCTGAGACTTGCAATTTTGTTGCTTCTGTCACAGGGACACATGTTTTCATACCTGCCACGAACTTCAAATTTTATGTCAAATCTACTTTAAAAAAAAAGAAACAAAAAAAAACCAGAAAAGCATTTCCCCCTCTGCCTGTACAGCTACAGGAAGCTGTATTGGTACAAAATGGGCCATTGAGCCTTCCCCTTCAGCCCTCAGTCCCTCCATGAAGGGAGAGGCTCACCTTTTGTGCCTTGTCCTTGCTACAGTGCTGCTCTCACAGAAGGAACTAGCAAAGTTCTTCAGGTTTTTCAGACAGAAAGCAAAAAGAAGAAGCAAAAAAAGACAAAGATGCAAAGAATTGACTGCAAGTCTGTGTGGTTTGATATAGCTTCTGAGATAATAAAAAAGCCAAATTTTTAACATTACAAACTCAATTCTTGTTTCTGAAGTGCTACTACATTTACCTATGGATGTGTTTTCTATGTGCACATTTTGTGAGTATGGCAGCTGAACTGTGCAGAGTGCAAGAAAATAGTTCAATGATTAAACCGACATAAAATTGATGTATTTATCCTAATTGCAGAAATTATACAATCTCAAACTGCTTTCTTGCACTTACTGCACAGCCAGCTACTCCCTTGCAATGGCTATATAAAAAAAATAAAAATCAGCTACTTTATTTACTAGAAAATAAAGCACGTCTTGAAACTGATCAAATGCAATGATACACTCATTAAAATAAAAATACACAAAACACAGCCTGAGATTTTAATTCTAGTATTTTTGCCATGAGTTGACATCACTGACAGATTTTTCTTCTCCTTTGGTTTTTCATATGATCCTGTTTAACAATTTTCACTATTCAAGTAAAACACATGGAACTGAATACCAGAAAACAAAATAAAAAGCACATTTTGCTTTGTGAAATCAGAAGTATTTTTTCCCCTTGAAGAGCACATTCCTTGATGTACAGGATTTACACTTCAGAGAACTGAGGGTGTTTCATTAGTTGCATAAAGATGCATTGATGGAGATCTATTGCTGCCTGCAGGGCTCAAACCTGCTGAGTTTACCTGAGCTTGGTGTTTTTTCTCACGTGACAGAGCACAGCACAGCACTGGAGAGGAACCCAAACGTTCTGACAACGCCGCACCACCTGCACCTCTTCACCAGGCAGGGCCAGGTGCCCTGAACAATGTCTTGGTGATGGAGAGATGGAGAGAACCCTTTCTAAAGTGCACTGACTGGAGGAACCTGGGCAGGCAGGGCCTGGCGGGTTCTCCACCCCTGGGACAAGCACCTCAGTGTCTTTGGTTGTTAGGTCTCCCCAGCTCTCTTGTTCATCTTCACCACAGCCTCCTGTGCCTGCTCCGGCAGCCGCGATGGGTCCGACAGGATCGAGGTGCTCCTGCTCAGGTGCCGCAGAGTGTTCAGCACCACTATTTAAAAAAAAAAAGAAAAAGGCAGGAAAGCATCAGGAAAAGCTGTTAATCTGACTGATCTTTCTTCTACAAAAGAGAGCACCCCTTGACAGCTATAAACGTAAATTAAATACTTGCTGAAAGAGGGAAAGAATCAAGCAATGATGCCCAAACAGAAGGTCACTCCAAAGCTGAATACAAATCTCAGAGGTCTTCCCTCATTATGAGGTAAATCACACTGCCAAACGTACTCCAACTAGAGCCAAGCTTTTGAAATTTAAATGTAAAGTCTGTTTAAATTCTGGTATATTCAACATTTTTTATTTTCTGTCTTCAAAGTCATAAGAGGCTCTTATTTTTTCACTGAGCTAACAAAAAGGAAGTGAAGGTCACATTCAGCATCATGTGCTTTCTTTGCCATCCTCTGACTTTAAAGAAATGTTATTATATTTTCTGTGTTCTGAAGAGCTGCTGGATGGAACTTCACTTACTTGGCCTCAGAACAGGAAGAGAACAGTGCTGATCCAACCAGGCCAGTGCAGTTTCGTTCAGATCCTTAAAGCTTGTTGTGGAAACCATCCCATTGAAGGACTCAAACAATGGCTTAATAATAATGCTGAACTGTAAACCATCAAATGTCAAGGAAGAAAACAAAGGGGGAGTTCAAAACATTCTAAGGGAAAGGCTATAGCAGAGAAAACACTGGATTTCTAAATGGACTTCAACTGCCAGAGGGATTGCAATGTTTAAATGATTGTATTTTCAAATATTTAACACTAAGACTGAGGAAAAAATTGAACCTTAGTTCCTAGTGATATTCACTGTATTTTGCAAAATTCCTCCACACTGACCAAAAGAGAAAAAAAGGGGAATGTGCAAGTTTTTGAACAGCTTCAGAAACTGTAATTTTCTTTCCCCCTGAAATCTTTGCTGTTATCTATATACATGTCCCAAAAGACAGCCAGAGCTGCAGTTACAGCAGTCCACAGAAGATTTCTTGCAGTACAATAACCTAGCAAGAACACCTTGCCTCTGCATTGCATTTCACTTTCCAGTTACCTCTCACATGCTGAGGTGAACAAGTTCTGCAAGAATCCATATCCACACGCAGATGTGGATGAAAACCGAGGACATTTACTATTTAAGTAACTTGGCTTAAAGTCACAGAATCAGAATCCCAAGTTCTTGGCTCTAAAAGTAACCAGCAACCAAAGCCCATGTTCATCAGGCTGGTATAAAAGGATACAATCCAAAACTTCCAGTTCTGCAGGGTCCTGCTTCTCACGTACTCATCAAACAATTTCCTCATGTGGTCAAACCTCTGCCGCGTTACAGGAACCCCGGTAGCAGGGAGCTGCTGCTGGCAAGAACTGAAGAGATGTTTGGAGATCAGAATCCCACCAAAAAGGAGACATTTCTTTTCCAGACTAAACTGCAGCAGGAGGAAAGTGCGTATTCCTGGTATCTCTGGCGGAGGGGCTTCCCAGTGCATGATCACACCAGAGTGTAACAGCTCCAGTCAGGAATAAAAATTTTTTTCCCAACAATTTTGCCTATATTTACACAGCTAAGTGATTTATCAAGCTGCTACAAACATTTCTAGTTACAAACAACAAAACTAGAAATGAAGTATAATATAGAACAAAGTAATTTTGGGCATCCATTAAGGACAAGGCACATTAGGAGTTATGGAAAAATTTACAGTACTCCTAAGCAATGTTACAGAAGAAGATATAACGAAGATTCTCATGAAACAGATCAACTTAAAATAAAACCAAGCAGATATTCACCATATTTTGTAAGAAAAACAAAAATATTTTGATTTACTGCTAATTCTAACATCATACCTAACCCTAAAACTTCTGGAGATGGAAGTAAAGTCACTGCACTTCTCAACATGCTTTGCAATAGTACGTAATCATAAACCCACAGAGCAAACTGAGGCACTGGGAAGGTGAAGTAATTTATCACAGTTCTGTTCAGCCAGTGGCAAACTTCTGGAGCCCAAGTTCTGTGACTTATATAATCAACCACAATTTTCTGTAAAAACTGACTGCCTTTGAAAAGAAAACTGCAGCAAAGCCATTGTGAAGAGTGAGAGTTCAGTCACCAATGAGCTTTATAAAAATACCCTCACTGACTTCTCAGAACTGTTCTGACCTGACACATCCTCTCTGATGCTGCCACTGTTGTGCATTCCATGCTCAGAGCTTGCTGAAAATCCACACAGTTTGCACCAGCGCCCATCCCACAGCAGCTCTGTTGTGTCTAACACCCATCTGCTCCCTGGTGTGACACTGAGCACACACTCCCTGCTATTTGGCCCAGGCACCACTGAAGCTGCTGCTCCATCCCTGGAAGCTCCCCATTCTCACAGGATGGTGGCGTTCAGCTCCTCGATTTCCTCCCGGAGGCGCCTGGTTTCCTCCTGCATCTGTGCCCTCTCCTGCTGCAGCTTGGCGATGTACTCCACTGTCTTCTGGAGCGTGATGGCGTGGCTGATCTAGGCCAAACACAGACACACAGCTCGCTTCCTGCAACAGCCTGAGGTTCATGATGAGTTTGTTCTCCTAACCTGCACTCTAGCACCTTTTAATTTTCCTTCACTGTGTGTAAAAGCACCGGGTCAGGCAGAGCAAAACACTTCAGATACTCAACTCTGCGTTTCTCTGAATCCTCTTCGCACTCCAGTACAGAGAAATGTGGGGTTGTTTTCTTCCATAAATTACGCTTCTGCTACTTTGTTGAAAGAACTATTTCAATAATTTAAAATGTTTTATTTCATTATCTGTCCTCTTAAAAATATTTACAGTTCTTACTTAAGTACTGAAGGATGTGCTATGTCTCCAGACAGATTTATAGTGGTGGTGGAAGCACTGCTTGAAGTTGATAATATAAATTATTTAGTTTAGGAAACCTGAAGTTTGGAGGAACCAATTAAAAATCTGAACTTGAGAAATAAAATAACCAGACGTTTCAGTAAAGCTGAGTTTTCAAAGAGGACTTCCTTTAAAAATAGGCTATTCAAGTCAGGAAGTGAAATTCTGTCAACATATCGCCTAAATTTCTATAAAGCTATAAAAGTTACATAAACAAATCAATATGCTGTGCCAAAAGCTTTCCTATTTTCCACGTTTCAAAGCTCCTGGTATTTAAAGGTCACTAAGAATTTTGTTGTGCAGATATATCTGTATTTCAGTTTAGTCAACTAAGTTAACTAGTACTTACTTACTAGCCAAAGTAAGTTTTTAGTCTGGAGAAACAAACTTGACAATGAAAAATCGGTTGGGCATTTTTTTCTCTGGAAACCCATGCACAAAAGACAGGTGAAAGGGGAAAAAAGGCCCTGATTCTTAAAGACAGCTTGGTGGTGTAAAGAGTCCTAAAGAGATTTGCCAAATCATCTGAACTGACCATGCCTCTGACTTCTGCTAGGAGGCAGAGATTTCAATGGTGTAGGAAATTTTAGCAGTTTAGCTGAGCTTTTCCATTCTAACACTGTGTTCCAGCAGTGTGTTCTGCTGTGCTCAGCTGACCACTCAGCAGTGAAATGATTACCTTTATTAACAAGACTTTTAGAATGGCTCTTTCTTACATTTCACATTAAACTCTAAGTGCTGCTGCAGTACTTACCAATTTGGAGTTGGCTGATACCAAGCTGTTCAGAGCACTGAAACCAATCTTGATATTAGACCTTCGTTTTTGTTCTGAAAGATGTTTCATCCTTCGATTCTGCAGAAATAAAATCAGCTCAGTCTGTGCTGTTCTCCATTACTCCTACTGCAGTGGCTATTTCAGCTACTCAAATTCAGATTTTGTTGACTTGTTGGCATTCACAGTCTCCCCTGGAACAATTCTCCAGAATCTGAATAATGAATTGACAGTGTGTTCATGGACCAACCCACCTCTGACATCTGTATCTATTTTAAGCATCACATGCCAGGATGGTAAAACAGGAAATCTGAAAGGTATATTACTTGGAAGTTCTAGACTTGTACAGCATGTACATGATCTGTTACTTTGAGCAAGGCACTCAGAAGTTTGAAAGATGCTATTTGTCTGTGGAGTGCTTTAGCAGAAAGAAAAGGTCACCCTACACCTCTTTCTAAGCTTTGGCTATGTCATCGGGAAATAAAATATTTAGGATTTATATTAACAAAAGAACAAAGATCAGAAGACACAGAATTGGTCCAGCCTGTGGCAGAAATACCTCACAATCAGTAACAAAGAAAACAACTGGCAGGAGTTTTAGGCACAGGAGGATCCTGCAGCCCCTGGATCCCAGGGCTGGGGAGCTACATAAACCACTGACAGGAGCTCCCAAGGTTGGTATCCATAGAAAGAAAAGACTTTGAAAGCTATAAAAGGAGCTCTAGTAGTTTCTGCTCCAGCACTGGGAATGCTGGATTATTCCAAGGCCTCTGAGCTGCTGAGGACAAAGGGATCTGCAGCCAGCAGATCCATTCCCAAAGCTGGGGCCACACTGCCGCCCTGTGGCTCCTGCCCAGCTCAGCTGGAGCCGGGAACAGCCAGGGATCGTCCCTGGGATGGTTACACGTGTCACAGCAGGAACACACAGAAAGGATGCAGGAAGGCCAAAACAACTCCAGATAGGACTCCAAAAATCCCCACTCTACACAGAGGTGTGTGCCAGGTGTGTGAAGGAAGTGCAGAGACCATAACTGTGTAACAGCTCAGGGATTTCTTTGTTCTGAGTCCCTCTCTGGCTGCACCAGCCCAAGTTGTTCCTATTGCTGCACCACTCAATTACTGCTTTTTCCTGGGAGTCTGCCACAGGAAACCCGGGATGAACAAACTTCTTTAACAGAGTTTGTTCTTTGAGAACACATTCCTGGCAGAGCGGGGCTTTCTGGCATCAGCTCACCATCACCCCACTTTATAATGGAGGAAAGCAATGTGATAAAGCAGTGAAGTGGTTGCCCAAAATCACAGAAAATGCAGGTTTCATGAGCAGAACTGAGATTTCCAGAGCCCTCTATGCTTTGGCAAACTGAAATAACCACATTATCTAGGAATACAAAACTGTTTATTCTAACTAACAGTACAGAGGACCAAAAGCACATACATCTGGAGCCTGGCAAATACCACTGTTTCTCTCTTGTCTTACAGAAGAGTTACTAACAGTACATATCCAAAGCAATTCCTGTCAGAGCAGGTGTGTTTACATGGCTGTAAAACCTATTTCACAGCTGTGTCCTTGCTCTTCCATCTAGTGACCACCTCTGACCATCAGGCAGCCCTACAAATTTGTTCCTTTGTTACCTTACTCTCTAGCAGCAGAACAGGCTGCATCCACTGCTTGTGAGCCAAGCCCTGCCAACTCTTAAAAGTAAACTTGCAGCATGGTCAGCAAGAGGCAGTTCTGATTGTTCTCTGCAAAAGATCTAGACCTGAGTAGTAGTCACAGGCTGCAGGTGTCAAACTTACCTTTCTGCCCTGGAGTATCCAAAATGCCATCAACTCACAGGGTACACAGAGACAGACAGGCCAGAAGGGGGTTGGCACTTGCAAAACTGTTAAGTAACTCTCCCTTTCATAACAGAATGAATGAGAGGGTTACAGCTGATTGTTCTGATGGGGTTTTTGTGGAGAAGTTTCTCATACCACCATAGAAAGTGTTCTGACAAGGTCAGCTTGTGTGTGTGAGGTACAACCAGTGCTCGGGTGCTATCTCTAGACCGCCGAGTTCTTACCCCAGTAATTCTCGAAGGGTTTTACAGGTGTAACTCGTAGAGTCTGTGGAGCTGCTTCTCTGTGGAGCAGCATAGCATCACTGGAGACATGTAAGTAACTCAGCAGGTCAAGAACTTCCCCTCCAGCGATGGCCAGAGCCCTGCAGACTGAAGAGCCCCAACAGAACAATGGCAAAAAGCCACGGTTTAGAACGCTAAGCCTGAAACCTTTGATCAAGTAAACTGACACCTGTCACAACACTCCTGTGAGCCACAGCAGGAACTGCTGTCACAACCATAAGGACCTGCAGAGGTACAGCCAAGACTGGCCCCTCTGGTGACACATCCCTGAGGAGCAGAGTAGATTAGAGTCTGACATTTTGGATTGCAGACCAGCATGAAGGCAGCAGCAAGTTAAGCCCAACACACTAATACGCTACTGTCACGAAGCACAGCTTTCTCTAGTCCATGCTCAGACATCAGGACAGTAAAGTTGCTATGAAGGCAAAGAAGAAAAGCCCCTCAAAGGAAAGGACACACACCTTAAATGCAGCCATGGTAGGGTCAGTGGCAGGTTTTCCTGAGCAGCTGTTCTGAGGAGACTGCGGACTGGGGCTCTGCTCAGAGGCACAGGGGGAAGCCTGGCCTGAATTCTGACAATCCCGGCCTTCAGAAAGGAAAAAACATGACACATTAACAAACAACTTTCTGTAGCAAATGTAACTGCTGAGAAGCTTCTACTCAGAACTGAACTGAAATGCAGTTGGCAACCAAATTACACTGTTTGATGCAGCAACCACATGCTAGAAAACATCAAGACTGCTGGGAAAGCTTAGGATATCATGTCACACGATACATCCTGAATAGCAAGATGTAATAGTCCTTTCACACACACACATTTCAGCAAAGGCATGTTGGATGCACAGGCTGTGACTCCATCGTCCTGCTGGACTCCCCCGTTTGTCTCTAAAGGCCTGGGATGTGATGGTGACACTTACAAGCCATTTACCACCAGAACCAGCCCAGGGAATGCTCTGTCAATGCACATGCAAAAGGAGTCTTTGCACTTACCTACGAGGATTGTGTCTCAGATCCTCCAGTCAAAATCAGAGCTATGACACTGAACAACAAACCTATTCAGCACTTCCTACACAGATGCCTTTCATTTCTTGGTGACTACGACAGCACATCCTTTTAGAAAGGAGCCACTTACAGGAAGCACAAAATCACAGTTTGTGGGGATGCTGCACAGTCATTTAAGACAAAAATTGCAAACTACTGGATGCAACTGAAGCTGTGGGGTAGAAGGGCCTGAAAAGCTCTTCCTTCAAAAACTATCTAGGGATCCTCAAGGCCCATTTACACCCTGCCTACTCAACAGAAACACACTTCCATGTGCAGGGAAGAGAATGCTTACGGCTTTCTAACTTACTAGGTGTAGGTGAGGGAACTTGTGAACTGCTACAGTGGGAAGGGATGTGCTCTCCTTTCACCAACACATCCTGGACTACACTAGGAGGGAAGAGATGTGAGACTGTGGACTGGCTTTGTTGACTACTTGGTGCTCGCTGTGCTGGACCAACCAGAATGTTACTACGGAACTCCGTCACCCCGGGAGCCTGGGAACAGCACAGAAACAGCACAGAGGAAAACAGAGAGAAAGAGAGAGCAGGAGGGGCAGTGTGGGGGCAGAGGGAGAGAAGGGATGAGAGAAAGGAGAAAGTGGGGGGAGAGATTAAGAAAGAGAAAAAGAGAGAGAGATTTGTTACCTTGCCTTTCACTAAAAGTAGCAAATTAATACATGATTAACAATCTGATGACATGAAACAAAAGCTAATATATAGGGAATTGGCAGGCACCAAAGTCAGGCTCCTGGCAGGAGACCAGTATCCTTTCATAACTTAAAGCAGTATTATAGCACATCAACAGCATAACATACTAAAATCTATCTCCATCTTCCTGCACACAACATACTGGGGAAACCCACTCACATACCCAAGGCATGTTTTCCAACATGGCAGTGGAAAGGTGAGCTCCCTGGGCTCCTTCCAGCTTCTGCACAGTTAAAGCACCAACCATCCCCATCCACAGCACTCTGAATACAGGCCTCCTTGGAATCTTACTGTTGTGTGAGACAGAGCCTGTCAAGACTATAAAGTGCTTCCAAGCCCATAAAATGCCTACATTAAAAATAAGCAAACATAATGCTGAATGCACTAATGCATACATTGGGTAACAGATGATTTAGTGGACTTGTTACCCGCTTGAGCACATTATGGCTCTCACTACTTGCAAATAACAGGCCTAGAAAACAAATATATAATTTTTTTTTTCTTCTCCTTACTCTGACAATTCCAGCTGGTGCAATTGCAACATTAGACTGAGACGTGGCTGGCGTCAAAATCCCCTCTCTTTTTAAAGGTGCTGGAGTTACAATCACAGCTCTGGACTGTCCCTGAAAGGCAGCTGAAGAACACAATTCAGTTAGAACAGTTAATGAGACAAAAAAGAGATGGAGATTATTTTGTATGAAATAACTTGTCATTAAACACAGGTATGAATCAATGGGCCTCTATTTGGTACTATTTTACTGCAGTATAAAATGCCACCAGTCTTCCAATAATCTCAAACCCTTTAATCCAGTACAAAGGACTTTGACACTCTGGCTATTTCTGAGTTTTCTAGCATCACTGTCACTGCTTCAAGGTGAATTTACAGAGGTATATAGTAATTCAGTGTCTTCATTCTATCAGAGCTGTGTTTGACAGGAGGAGGACCATCTTCAGCTCTCCTCTTCCATCCACACTTTGGGATCTCAGGCTTGCTCTGCTGACCCAGGAACTGTCAGTGACTCAATACTCCATGTTCCCTTGTATATATATCTTAAATCCTTTCCCTCAGCACTTCAGCCTACCAGCTTCTTTCACTATCTGGTTTTACAGCTGCTTTAGATGACACACAACCACAAGACAACCAAATGTGATTGGGAATCAGCATCAAAATTCCACAAAATATGCTAAAGTTCCAAGAGTTCTGTAGTACTTAGGCAATAGCAGCAAATGTCTCCACATGAATCTGTGAAGATCTCCATGTAACCAATGCAGATGTGCACTTACTACCACAGCATTCATGCTGACATGGTTCTTGCCCAGTCTAGACAGAACATATGACTTACCACCCTAAACTGTTATTAAGGGAAGAATCAGGCAAAGACACAGCTTCTGTCTAGATTTTGATAAAACAAACCAAACATATTTGGCTTCACTCTTGACTGTACTGGTTCAGCTCTCCTTTGTCATGATGCAGGAGAAGTGTCAGTTCAGCTCAGCACCTGCCAAGCCACCTCTCTGCATTCAGCATCAGGATCTTAAAAGGACACACACAGCAAGACAGGGAGACAGTGCAGGGTTATCCAATGTCCCCTCCTTGACAGCATCACTTGTGACTGACAATTGTGTTTTGACTCAACTGGAGTTTCTGCACAGCCTCTGTAAGAGAGGCCTATGGATTGCACAAACCTTGTGCCAGCCCTTGCGTGGGTCTGTCTGGAGAAGAGGCTCTGTCACTGACACAGGGAGTTCATTCTTTAAGCATTCCCACATGTAAAGCTGAAATCACAACCCTTCCACTGTTCACTGACGTTCAGCTGGACTTATGACATCTCTATTGACCTCAAGAGCCTACTCTTACCAGTGCATTAATGCCACTGCACAGCCTTGGCCTTTCTGACTTCCACATTTGAGGAAATACAGCAACTAGCAACAATATTTAGAAGTTGCTTTATATGATTCATGTTTCTGTCCTACAGACGCATGTTTTGCAGAACTTTCCTCTCAAAATCAGCACATTTATCGTGAAGTGGTGATAGCAGTGAAGTCTTGCACCTTGCGAGACAATCTGTACAGATTTTTGAGTCCTTATACCACACAACAGTTCTAACACAAGATATAATGTAATTTGCTTTACAGTCAGGAGATGATTTGTTTATCCTGAACACAAATGACAGGCATAAATGCCTCAGTTACAAGTACTGATGTTTATTCTGTTGCCAAAAATAAAGCTCTAGTATTTATATAAATTATTGGATTTGTCCCCTGAGCTTGACGTCCCAGCAGTTTAAGAATATCATGATCCCCAAACACATGCCACTAATCTAAACAAGAAACAAAGCCACTGGTTGCAATGGTCTAGAAGTAAATGGTGGAGTACTGGGAAAGTAATATATGGGGTGAGGAACAACCCAGGAAGCACTGAGAAAAGCAGGAACAAAGACTTTCTGAAAATGAGTTGCCTACAATCTTTACTAGGTGAGAAATGCATGTCTTGACTGCTGAAGGTACATGGACTGTTGGCTTATACTATAGACAGGAGCACTGCCATTAACACCCTTGTGCTACTAATCATGGACCAAATCGATCTTAGTGACATCCTAGAATTACATCTTGGGTCTGGTTCTTCTCCTGAACAGTGATTTTTTTTTGGTGGGTAACCTCACTATCAGGCCCTGGGAGACACACCTACTCCCTAGTAAAGCCTGTTTAACATTACTCCTCCAGGCAGGCTTTTTCTTGAATTATTGTTGCACATTTCAAGTGGCTGAAGTCACTTGGCTCCCAGCCAACACAAGTCTAAAAACAGACTGCAATAATCCCAAGGAAAGCATTCTGCCTGTCCTGCTCCAGCCTTGAGCTTTCCTACAAGAACCACCTCAAGTAAAATTGTTGCTCCTTATTATTATTTGCCTCGTGCAGCACCTGTGGCTCCAAATCCCACCCAGTGTGGAAGTCCCAGTTGTTCCTACCCTGACCTGAAATCTGCTCCTGACTTAAAGCATCTTAAGGGTCTCCAGACTGCTTGGGACAAAGATCTCCAGCTCCCTCAGGAGAATCTCCTCCTCCACTGTGGCTGAATGCTCTGAGGGACAGTTAATCACAACAGCATCACATCTAAAGTTTTATGGGGCAGGAGCACAGCTGGTGCAGCTACATGGCCTATCACAGATAGATGAGAGAGCCAGCACAGATAGAGAGACACCCCTGTGGCAGGTCAGCTTTTCACACTCAACCAAACTGCTTCCAATCCTTGCAGCTGTCCAGAGAATCCCACTCAACAGTGCAGCCACTGTATTCAGCCAGTGGATTCAAGGGTTCTGTGGACACACTCAGAAGCTCTATTTTAACTTATTATGTAAAGCGAGAAAAGCAAGAAGGTCTTTTCCTCCTGCTAGTCCCACTCAGAAAACAAAAACATCCTCCCACAGTGCTCCTCACCTGGGGTGATGAAGGCATTCTTTACCAATAAGGACACTGTTTCAAGCTTCGGAGCAGGCACTGTTTTTTGTGACTGTTTGGGCCTTGTCCCAGCACTGGCCAGAGGAACAGGTTTGGGGAGTGCAAATGTCAGCTGGGACTGCAGCTGGGGCCGGGGCTGCCCCTGCACAACAGCAGTCTGGAAGGCCAGGTTACAAGGCACTCCTGCCCCCGGCTGCTGCGTGGCCAGGACCAGGCTCTGGCTCTGGCTCTGGCTGAAGGTGGTGGCAGGGGCGTTGTGGGTGAGCGTGGCAGAAGCCGTGTGAGTGGTGACCGAGGATTCACAGAGCCCAAACTTGGGGGTTTCTGGAGCAGCGAAGGCGGCGGGCGCGGGGCTCAGGCTGGAGCTCAGCGGCACCGCGGGCAGCGGGGACTGCTGCTGTGGGCTCGTGGGCTGCAGCAATGGCAGGGGCGCCTGGAACACTGACATAAAAGTTTGTGGCCCACTGAGAGACGAGTCAGGAGGGAAATCTGCTGGCTGGATGAAAGATCCACCGCTTCTAATGCTGGAACACTGGTCAGCAACAACGTCAGGAATGACAGGAGCAGGTACTGAGGAAGGAATCAGTCCGTCACTGATGTTCCCTGCTGGAAGCGTGGTGGGCAACGAACCCGACGGCAGGACAGGAGACTGAGAGACAAGGAAATATTACTGATTCAGACATGTCTGGACTCCTCCTGAGAAGACATGGCTCATGTCAGAGCCTTCTGTTTAAACCTCTCTTACCTGGGAGGAGTGGCTGCTGCTGTCTGTGGTAGCTGAGCTGACAGCAGACACAGAAGGGAAATAATTACTTGAGCGACTGGGCGTGAATAATTCTGAAATATGAAAAGTCACCTATTAATTTTCTACTTTTCATATTCAACATACAGCATTACTAGATCCCAAAATTCACAGGAATATCAGTATTATTTAGCAAATAATGAAACCATGAGATTTTGCTTCATACAACTGCTGTTGACTCAGCAGTGAATTGCTGTCTTCCAGAGGAACTGATCTCTTTGGGGCTGACTCCTTCAACTTTCATGCAAACTGGGACAATGCAAAAATCAGTCCTATTAAGGGATCATCACACAGACAGCCAAGAGCTGATCCTTAGTGAGTCCCACCAAGTACAGTTATCTGATGCAAACTGCTTGCAGAGCCAGCAAATAGATATGGCTCTTTACTTCTATGCAGATCCATAACCATCCAACTTGTCAGCAATAGTTTAATGTTATGTGGAATCCTCAACAGTGCCATAAAACATTCAAAGACAAACAAAATGTTAAAAGTCTTCATCACCAAGAAGTGTGAAATGGGGAAACCTTAGATGTTTGTAACATTTAACCATTTTTAAAACATAGTTAATAAATCACTGCAATATTTAAGAAACTAAGGAACTCTATATATGTTTCTTACCCTGAAAAGGCTCAAAAGTATCCATAAAATCAAAATTTGGCTGGAGAGGAATAAGCCCTGGTTGAATCATGTCAGCATTTCCTAAGTGTCCTGCAAAATTCAAGAGACAGATTAGATTAATTTCCCATCGCTCACATAATAACAGCAACAGGAATAAAACACTCCACAGCCAGGCTTGGCTAAGATGTTACAGAAAAACTGCTGCTGAAAGGAACTGAGCATCTGCTTCTCTTCAGAACTACTGCACATTCCAGATACCAAAGCCATTGGGGAATGAAACTTTCAGTTACTAAAGTGGAAGAGGTGAAACCTGAAGGCTCTAACTGACATCTGGGATTGCCAAGCTCCTGCTCCCAAACCTCCTGTCTTGCCCCTGCTGCACTACACACAACCTTGTTGGGAAGCACAGCCTGACCCACCACAGCTCATAGCAGAGCATTTTAAAATAAACCACCACCCATTCCATTTTTCTTGAGTACAATCATGTAAACCATGGCTGCTCTGGATTTGCTCAGACATCCATGCAGCAAGGATGCTGAACAGTGGAGATGTGCTGTCCCATCAGACATTCAGAGCCTCCAGACAGAGCTGAACAGCTCTTGGGATTGTTTGTACAGATGAAACTTGCACTGGTTCTACTGGACAAAACCAAACAAAAATACACAGGCACTTAGACACTGCTCATTACAGATTTATTCAGAGCAACATTAGGGGGCAAAGCTGGGAGCAGCACGTAAGAAGCTAAGAGAGAAATTAAATTCAAATCATTAATTTGGATTCTGTAACCTACAGAATCATAAGACAGCTACATTCCCTGACCTGTTCTTATCTGTATCAGCAATATAAGATAGATTTCTTAGGCAAGACTACAAGAGCAGCAAAGCAACAAACCAGAGCTTTCTTAGTGGTTCTCACTGCAACATAACTACAGCCAACAAATACCTATGTCCCTGGAATTTGGCCAGGAAACCAGCTGATGTGAAGAGAGTGTGGAGAACAGGGTGTCCGTGAACTCAGACATGAGCATGTCTGCATCCAAGAGGCTGCCTTCCTCCATGGGGACAGGGGTTTCTCTGCCATACCTTCTTTTTTGCCAGAGAACCACATCATCATCCTGTCAAAGGAAAGGAATAGAGCTCAGGCTGCCTAGCAATTCCAAAGCAGTCTGGTGCAAATCTATAAAAGCACCCTCATTTTTCACATTTTTAAGGGAAGAACCTCTCTCTGAGGAGCTATCAAATGGACTGAAATACATCAGAGGTGCTTCTGATATACCAGCAACTTCAGCTCACTGAAACACCACAACATTCTGGAAAAGGTTTTTGCCCAAAACCCAGATATTGACTAGAAGGATGTAAGACAAACAACACTTCCTTGTGTTTACAAAGTTAACACATTACACAGGTATTTGATGATTACACAAGTATTTTTGCTCCTAGCTTAACAATCCCTTGGTTTGAATAAAGATGGAATAGCAAGAATGCAAAAAACAACTCAGGTCTTGTGAGATGTATCTGAAACTCTGATGTGCAGTGAAGTAATTGTACTCAGAGTTTGCACAGGACACTTTTTGCCCATGAAATATACAACATAATGTGACTAGGCTTACCCATCCCTCACTACAGGCTGAGTCAAACTGCGCTGCCTTGCAAAAACAGCAAAACAGTGCTTCTGGTCATCAGTTCATATACCCAAAGCAGATTTGATAGTTTAAGGGGACATACTAAATGGTGATACCACAGTTCCTTTAACCATTTTGTCCTTTTATAGGATCCAGATCTGCCTGAACTGTGGGCACAGCAGGAAGATCTGCAACATGTAGCTCCCACATCTTCACAGACCCAGTTACACAAGCAAGGCAGCAGTGCCAGTTACAACTCGGTAACAAAATGAAATCATGTGCCAGCCCTCAAAGAGATTGATCTCTCTGGGCATGCAATGCTAATTCCCATTTCTTCTGTCGCAGCACTTTACATTCAACCTCTCCTCCATCCAATTCAAGCTACAAATCTTACACTGCTCTCTGAGGCACAGAACATGAGGGTGTCTAACCTTAATTAAGGCTTAAGGCTTAAGCAAGATGCTTGTCTTTAGATTTTAATCAAAGCAAGCTACTGCACGTTACAGCTTTGTTATCTACTGCGGGTTCTACAAGCAAAAATGCTGCCACTTCTCAGTGGTGTTACCTACCCTGACCAAACTTGAAAGATCTTCATCTTTGTGTTTCTGTAACTGCAAAAGGAGAACAGAAGAGATGGTGAAGTCAGAATAAGTCCTGTATGTGCCAGTGGAAGCCATGATTTTGCAAAACTTTTAAGACCCAATCATGCACAATTAGTCCCAGCACAATAATTTTTAGTTAAGTGGAACTAATCAGATGAGCATGTCTGTACCAGCTTATCATCTGTGTTAAGTACTCCTGCATGCCAGAAAAAGTGGTAGAAAAACTCGAAAAGCAACAACATAGTCATCAAGCTCAAGCAAACTACTTTCATTATGTAAACCAACAGACCCTTTTCTTGAAGTATGTTCTCCACTTGTGGTATTCCCTAATGACTATTTCAATTCTTCGTTTCCAGTACTTCCCTTCTGTTGCAATGGCCTGAGAACACAAACACATACCATGAATTACACGGAATCACATAAGGGCTGAATATTCAATACATTTCCAAGCAAATATTCAGGCATAAAAAATGCAAAAGAAAGCATGCTAATTCTGTTTGAGCTCATGTATCAGCAGCCCACACTGTCCCAGAGTTCAGCTATCACAGAGCAAATCTGACAGTACTAACTTCATCTTCCCCACAAAAACCAAACACAAGATGATGTCTGACTGCACTGTCAGCATCTCCCACAGCAGCTCAACCATAACCAAGAGTTAAGAAACAGCAAAAAAAAACCCCTTTAAAATTAATTTACTGAAATATAATGTATAAAGCATACAATATCCTGTGAATTTCACAAGGTCACATGCACAAACACATAAGCAAAAGCTGCTATGAATGACACAAAGCAATAGAAATCTGATGTCCAGCTGAGGGAGGACCTTGCAGGCCACACACTGATGGCAACAAAAGGATCAGACAATATGGGTCTTCAATGTATCACAGAGAGCAGTGTGTAAGTTGGGGAGAGCAGACTAATGAGTGCCTTAACTTTGTTTTCGAGGGTCACTTTCAACACAAACATCAACACTGTTCTTTCAAAAACCTGAGACAGTTCCACAAACTCATCTGGAACTCCTTTGAGTTATAAATTATTCTAGAGTTATGCAGTATAGAGAGAGCCACATATTGCCACATCAAGGGCCTCACTGGTTTTCTGCAAGGAGCCAGAGGGCAGATGTTAGTTTTCATTTATGTTTACATGAGCACAAAAATGAAAGAACATAAACTCATATTTGATCTGTCTGTGAAACTACCTCGACACAGAAAAATAAATTGCTTGTTCTCTTGAAACCACACCTCGCCAATTACATAAAATACAGAAAACTCTCCCAGGGTCACCTAGATTCAGTCCTGAAAATAGTCATCACTCTGATTTCCCACCAACTTCCAGTCAGAAGACAGCAGTGGCTGTCAAAATCTTAACTACTCAAACAGCACTTCTATGACTTATGATTCATTAAACTACAACATTAACATAAGTTACACAGATAACAAATGTCCTTCTGGTTGCATCTGGATCATCCTAATGTGATGAACTCATAAAACCAGGTTTAGTCTGCTTTAAATGGTTCCTTCTAAATAAAAACAGAGCACAGATTGGCTATGCTGCCTTTGCTTCCAGCAGACCAGAAAATCCTGTTACAAACTCCAGAGCTCACTGGGCTGTTCCCAGGGTTTCACACACCTCTGGCCGCCGGTGCTCATCGACATCCACGGAGCCGTCCAGAGGGGTCACAAAGTGGCACACAGGGTTCTTGCGCTTCTCCAGGTCTGAAACAACAACGAAAATGCAAGTGCTGAGCACGTGCAGGGCCTGCAGAGAGCTGTCACTTCAGTGGCAAGGTGTGACAGGGAGCCTAGGCAGGATTCCTTCCAGATAAACAACATGAAACAAGGAGATCTCGGGCTGTGCTCGGAGCACGCCCTCAGTGTGGGCACATCCAGGAAATCCTGATCCAACGGCATTGCCTCTGAAACATCAGACCTTGAGCAGGTCCCCGAGCTTTTCACCAGACAATAACTGCAATTCTCCTGTTCTCACCCATGTCTCAGGGAAGACCCGCCCCCAGCACGGTACTTACACTGCATGTACCAGGCCCTCCAGATGGCGTTATTGAGACGGATTTTATCTCTCCACTGAAGCTTCAATCCCTTAAAATTTTTCCATTTTGGTGAAACCAACCTTCCACTGCAACGAAACAGACAACAAATCATTCTGCTTTCAGTTTTCCTTTTTCCCTTCCTTTCAAGACAAAGCATTCCCATAAAACAGCCGAACTGTCAACACATAAAACAGCAACAAACCATGCTTGGCCAGTCACAGCTTTTGCTGTCCACGGCTCACTGAGCCAGGAGCCAGAGATGAATCCGGTCTTCATTTCATTTTCAGAGTTCTCCATAGGAACTAAGAACTGTCACAACTAGTCTCACAAATATCAGTAGGAAAGAAATTAATTTCACTTTTCTCTTTGCCAGTATCACATCTTTTCTAATCCCTGCCTATGCGCTTCCACCAACTGGGATTGAGATTATTTAAAATTAAGAGGCTTTTGCATGTTTGATCAGATACAGTTCTATTTGATTTTCCAGGCTGGTAACACTGGAAAGGAGGAATGAAATGCCAGCTCTGGCTCAAGAAAAAACATAACCTACCAATTCTACACTGGGCACAAAGGTAGACCAACAAGCTAGAAAGAGTAAATTTTCTCCCAAGAAAAGCAAGGCTGGAAAAAGAAATGATTTATGCATGAATGCTCCTGGGAGGTGGAAGGGAAATGGAAGGAAAAAGGAAGAAGCAGCAGGGACTCTAGTAAGCACTGTATAAACAAAAACTACCCAGCCCTTAAAACACACCTTTTATGAATCATTAATCCATACTATTGTCAGGGCAGTAGGAAATACTCATGACACAGTAAATTGCAAACCAGAGATTAAAGTATAAGAACTGTGCCTTTCCCAGGTTCTCCTTCTTGTTTGGGGGGGTTTTAGCCCCACATCTTCCAAGTTTGTTTCCTGTGCTGTTTGTGCAACCTTGCTATGAGGGAATAGGACCAACAATACCAACTGCAACCCACACAACAAAGGAAACAGGTTCTCCTTGACACAGTATGAGCACCAGGTCAAGGGGTGATGGACACGAAGGACTGACAGGAGCAATGTCACCTACAAGCACTCTGCCCTCTCAGAAGAGATCCCCTGAGCACGTGGTCAGTCAGGAATGGTCTTTGCCATGAAGTGCAGTGGCACTGGAGATGTACCAGCACAGACAGAGCCCTGGCACAGGCCATTTGCTTCACACATTCAGTACAAATGAATGCAGAGAGGAATTATTTATCCTTAAAAGCTCATTTCACATTTAAGCTCGAAAACTGCTGTGCAAATAGGAAGCACATCCTACAGAAGTGCAAGGCACTTTCTTTGGCTCACTAAAGCCCATGCACAGAGCTTGAGGCTGGAGAACTGATAATTCCCAGTTTCCTATTTGGTCTGGGAAACAGCAGTTTTATTAGAAGAAACCTTTTAATAAAACTTGCAATACTATAAACAAGTAAAAAGTCCTCAGCATAAACAAAAGCAACCAGAATGCCAGAGCTGCCATTACCAGGATATTAAACTAACTTTTTTCACATATTTGGCTCACCATTTCTTTCCTCCCTTGCTGACACCACAATTGCTCTCACACTCAGGTACTCCCACAACTCTTGACAGTAATAGAGAAGCAAATGTCAGGTTTCAGTCAAGAGACAGGTAAAGAAAACCAGCTCTGCTCTTTCAATTTTACTACTATATAAAATGTCAGTTGTGGCAACAGGTTGTAGCAATGCACCAGCAGATGAGATGTTGCCTGACTGTGAATTTTTTTCCCCCCTCTTTGTCCTCTTCAAAATTAAACTGCAATGTTATTTTATGCATGAGGAAGCAGATAAAAGACCAGGCATGAAGTGCAGTAGAAGGCAAATTTCCAGCAGCAAGAGAACAGGTAAGTGACCAGATTGTGAGCCCTGTCCATGCCCAGCTGCCCCTTTGGGATGTAGGCTGTACACTGGGCTACGCTACAAGGCTCTGCTGTGGCCTTTGGAATGCTGGTGCTTGATAAAAAATCAAGTATAAACAAAATATGGGACACAAAATGGAACATGAGCATCCCCAAGATAAGCAGACTTGCTGGAGCAAGCAACTTCATTGACTGGGAGTGAGAGCAAACTATGTCAACCATCAGCAAGGAATAGAAAAATTATTGTTAATGTACTTGCGCTGTCACTGGGCTTTAAGTCACTCAGTACCATCAGATTCTGTAGGGTCACGGACATTTAGGAAATCCTTCTGGATTATTTCTTTTCAGTAGTGCATCTACATCTTTGAAATACATCTCCCAAAACTCTATTTCTAAACTTCAAGACTTGTAGTTAATGGAAAGATCTCAAACTATTTAATCTCACTGTTACCCAACCCATGAGTCAGGGCAGAGAGTGGATCTCCACCCATTTAATATTTCTCCCATCACTGCAAACCATCCCAACACCTTCAGTGTTCCCTGCACAGCCAGCTCTGCTTCAGAACCACTTCACACCTTGTCTTTCCTTCTAAACACACACTAAAACAAATATTTTCCTGCTTCTCATCTGTACATTAACAGTTTGGAGACAGGAGATTAAGGTGCTGATGCATCACCAGCACTGACAAAGTGCCTACATGCCTTTGACTAAGAAATCTGTCAACTTAATGTTCATCTCCTCATAGCTCTGTGTGACTCGACAGTTAGCCAAAGCAACAAAACTCTAATAATCTGCACTCAGAATAACAAGAGCAAATGCTTTTCTATAAAAAGACTAAAAGGAACTGTAATCAAGTCTGGTACACTCCTTGCATCTTCAAAGAGCTAATTAAAATTGGAATTAAAACACAAATAGTTTAAAATATTTTCAATTATATTCTTAGAAAATGTTAAACAAGACTAGTACATCAAAAGAAGGAAGTGATTAAGAACCTATTCTTAAAATAATTATTATTTTTAGTTCCCATGGGAGCAAAACACAAGTCCAGCTTGAGGTCATAAGTGAAACGGCTTCAGCCTCAGTGGAGAGGAATCAGCATGAAGCTGACAACAATATTTAGACACTATTCCAAATTCCAAAGTCAATGGAAAGTCAATTACTTTGAACAGCACTGTGACTGAGAGCAGCTGCCTAACTGAAAGCAGTCTTCAGATTTTAAAGCAGCAAAACAACAAGAGAAAAACCCAAACAACTGGAGAGACCATCTGGCTGCTGCTCCTGCCAGCTCTGTAAGACCACACCAACTCCTACAGCAGATGTGGAGCAGCTTCCCAGCAGGTGGATGATCACCAGGTACCTGCAGCACAACCCAAGAGCACACCCATGATCCCGGCCCCCTCTCCAACAGCTGCTGCAGCTCTGCAGGGATGCTGCTTCCAATGAGGGCAGCAAGAGAACATCCCAAGGGAGAACTGGACCCAGCAGTGCACTGTACAAGCCAGGACAGCTGCAGCCACAGCTGGTGGGAATGCTGGTGCTGCACAGAGTGCCCAAGCTGAGCAACACAGGGAGCCAGGCTCCCGGGTGTATCCTGCAGGCAATGCTGCTGCCAGAAGCTCAGCTCATGTAAGCAATGCTGGAAGAACAGGTGACTTTCATGTTCTCCTCACTATCACACAGAGATCAAATCAAAGCAGCTGAAAAAATCACGATGGGTGACTTGCAATGCATTCCAGCAGCTCAGCTCAGTCTCCCATGTAGAAATCTCCACCACCTGAGTCCAAATGTCCTCATCAAGCGATTTGATCACAGCAAACCAGCCAAAAGAGCTTCAGCTCAACAGCCAAGAGAGCTGGAAATCCCCTTGGACGCAGTGACCCCAACGTGCTTTGGAGGGCTGTCAGAGGAGAGGCTGCAGGCACCTGAGGCTGCCACGTCCATCTGTTGCAACATTCACCTATGAGTCCTGGACACACCAAGAGAGACTGGAGTCCGTTCCCAAGGATTTTACATGTGTTTTCCCAGCTCAGGAACTACACCACCTCAGGCAACTGAGATCCAAGCAGACAGATGGATAACATGGCACTGATCTCTCACAACTCTCCACTTCTAAAACTCCAGTGAAAGCAGCTGTGCTTTAAAACAATTACAAACCTTCAAACATCACAAAATCTGCAGCAAAGCACAAGAAACAAACATGTACTGTGAGAGTGTGACCTGATTCCCTTCAACACCTTTCATCTAATTTTTTCTTCAATCAACTGAAATGTAATTAGGGAGCAGGTTTGTATTCTAACAGTACCCTGACAGTATCAATTTACAAGCAAAGTTTTGCCTCTTAGAATCTCATCATTCTATGTTAGTAAGATTCAATTAATGATCTTGCAGGAGATTTTAGTGATGCTTTGGACAAGAGACAAGGCAAAGGGGTGACCCTCTTTGTTAACAGATACACATGAAATGCCATTCACTGCCGCAAAATTTAAAGCAGTAGCTTTCCCTAGCACTGAAACAACATTCAATTAATAAACTCAATGAGAAACTCCTTCTGACATCTGTAGAAGCAAGATCAAGCTCTGAGATGAGATGACTCACAACAGAAGAATCCCCTGTTCTCCTCCCTTCATCAGAGGATTTTAAGATGGACTTCAGTCAGCATAAAACCACAACACAAGCACCCTCCGGATTTGAGCAGAAAGGGAAATTTATCTTTGTGCAAACCCAGAAGAAACTTAGGGGATTTTTCATTACTTATTAGCATTAAGAAATGCCAGC